GAAGTTCATTCCACTTCTCCACACAAGAGCTACAAGGCTGAGGAGGCTTCAGTGTCTGGGAAGAGCTCTGAACTACCCCACTGCCAAAAAATGGTACCAGTGAAGGCCAGAAATAGAACCAAAAATCCCATGACTTCTACTTTCCACTTACCATACACTGCTTCATTCCGTAACCCTTGCTTTGCCCTTGAACACACAGCAACTCTTCGGATGCTGGCTGTTGATGTTGGTCACAAACTATTTTCTCCCCTTCAAAACCCAGGAGCTGCATTGACCTTATGTGATGAAACAGCCACACGCATAGTGAAATTATACTCCAGGGGATCTGCGATCTTATCATTGAGGGCACTCCCTTCAACAATACAGACCACAGTCCACTGAGATCTACTCATCCTGTGTAATTCTTGTCCACATTCTCTCAAAATCCACTAGAAGGGGCTGGCCCATGGTGGGGGCCTTTCTAAATTTTTTTGAAATGCCTGGATTATCAATGGAGGCTGTAGGCTTTCCATCAGTTATCCCTCCTTCTCACTGAGACTGCCTTTCTTTTATAGTTATGCATTTCTCTGATGATAGCTCTTATACCACCTCTGTGTAATTCCTTGTGTGTAATGCCCTCCAAGCTCCTCATACACAAGATAGATCTCTTGGTACCCCTTTGAATGATTCTCAATTTTTACCCTTTTGAAATGGTAGTATCCTTTGATTCAGCCATCCCTGGAAGAACAATAAAATGAGCCTTGGCTTCAGAGAGAAGCTTGGGGATTACTTTTTTTAATGCAATTTCCCAAAGGTGATCCAGTTTGCTCTCTTCCTCCTCCTCCTATTGATTCTGGGCCCAGCCCAATGTCCATCTGAAGTGCCTACCTAACGTATACACACATACATACACACATATGTATGTATATAATATACACGTATGTGTGAATGAATGAATGAATGTATGTATGTATGTAAGTATGTAAGTATGTATGTATCTGTACTAACAGACCACATCTCTGGCTGTCCATCCAACTGCACATCGCAGTCTGAACACTGAAAATTCTCCATCTGCTTGATCCTTCCTGGTGTACAGTCAGGCTGAATTCTTTTGATTCATTGTGGATTTCATTTAGCAGGCTCAGCAATGTTTGGTACTTGACACAATCAGCAAAATGTCACCTGAAAACAAGAACTTCTAGAGGTTTATGGTGAATCCTTCTTTGATTTGGACTCAGTTCTGAGTCCATGAAGTCCATAAAGGATGCCTTATGACAGTGTAAAATACCTTTGGTGAACATAGAGAAACCTCATATACCTTTGCTTAATACCAATCAGTCATTTAACAGTTACATATGTTGTTACATATGTTAAGAAATCTTATAAGAACATGATATGAATATGGGAGGTACCATATTGGAGAAGTGTCACATTTTTTGTAGTCTTTGAATAATAAGCCCAGTGGGATCTTACACTATCTGACTCTTAATCAATTATGATTGTAGAGATGTGGTCTATGTGGCATGTCACTCAGGAAAGCTTGCCACATCTTTATCAAGCATGTCCTTGAAGCTCGATATTAACAATCAGATGGTCACTGAACAGTTATATATGTTGTTACATATTTTAAGGAATCTTGTATGACCATGACACGAACATGGGAAGCATCATACTGGAGAAGAGTCTCTTTTTTGGTAGTGAGCAAACGATAAGCACAGTGGGATCTTGTGATCTGATCCTTTCAGTCAATTATGATTGTAGAGATGAGGTCTACTGTAAAATATCACTTGTGAAAGCTTACTATATCTTCATCCAGTATGTTGTCAATGCTTATGTAGATTATCTTCAGATAATACTATTAAGTAGACATATGGAGTTCCTAACATAAAAGTTATTGAAATTCTCTTCATTGCATTTTGGTAAAAGTAAAGTCTGAGACTTTTTTTGGCATCCTCCATTCTTTATACACTTTGAGAATCAATCCCCCAATCACCTCAAAACTTTGACTTTTTCAGTTTAATCTCAATACTTTTCCCATCTTTGTTTTCTTTAGTGTCAGTTCCACTTCTTCAAGCAATTCAGCCAAGACTGTGATGTTGGAGTCCAAACGTAGTTTGCTGTACTGTCATTAATGGGGGAAAAGTTTATTACAAAAATGTTTACAACTCTTATCCATATTTTGTCTGTTATCTTTTTTGCAGTTCTATCCTTAAATGCTCATGAGATTATTTGTCTTATTTTGAGGTCTCACCAAATTTCTTTAAACTTGTTTATTGGGGCAGCTAGGTGGCGCAGTGGATAGAACACTGGCCCTGGATTCAGGAGTGCCTGAGTTCAAATTTAGCCTCAGACACATAACACTTACTAGCTGTGTGACCCTGGGCAAGTCACTTAACTCCACTGTCTAACCAAAAAAACCAAAAACTTGTTTATCCCTCCATTACTTCTCACTTCTATGAAACAATTCTATTGATAATTTTCCATACCTTCTCTATTAAATTCAACAAATTAGTTTATATTCTAAATTAGTTCATATTCTAAACTGATGCTGCCTCTGTTTGTCATATCATTCTTTTTGTCCAAGAAACCAAGTGCTTGCTGGTTAAGGTACAATCTAGGCTCTTTTGATCTCTTCATTCTGGCAAATAATTTGTACCAACTAAAGTTGAAGAAGTAGCTAAATTTATATTAATGTATACTTCTTCCTCTACTCATTTTTTGGCATCAACAACTTTTTAAATAGGTCAGTCAAGAAATATTTTAATTATATGTCATCTTTTTTTCCTCATTTTTCATCCAGGTCTTTGTCAATTTTGTTCTTAGCTCTGACAAGCTAGTTGGTGGCCACAGTGCCTGGAACATAGTAAGTTCCTAGTTAATGTTTATCAATTGGTCTGACCAAACACAAACAGCTTATTTGGGAATGATTCCCACCTCAGTTAGAAATTGCTTCCTTTAAGAATACAATTACTTTTGTTTATTATTTAATTGCTACCATATCCAGTATCTCTCAACTATTTTCTTAAAATACTCATGTTATACAATTATGATGCTTTTGTGTTCGTTTCAAACTTTTCACCTGAGACATGTTTTCCAGGATAATTTTCACTATCCTCTCCATATTTTCATTGAAGCTACCCAGTATTAAAGTACACATTAATCTAATTTGGACAATCATATCTAGTTTTTTCACAGATTTTATCTACATCCTGATTTTCTGTGGCAGATGTTCATGCATAAACTGCAATTATTTTTGTAGGGGTCTTTTGGCAAACACTTGTCATGAACACTGCAGTACAGATGTCCAAATGTCCCATGAATTTTTTTTTGCCTTTGAGTGCACAATAAAACCAACTCCAAACACTACCTCTCCAAGAAGTACCTGTGAGCCATCTGTCCTTTTAGCTGCAACTTTTTTTTGTCTTTTTGTTTCATTTATAGGGAGAATCTCAAGATTAATTAGATTCAGTGCCTCTAGTTCACCGGTTGGACACTGAACTCACATTTAATTTATCAACAGCTGAATTAACATTTATAGATGGTTTAAAAACTGGAATCTTAGCCCTCTCTGCCTTCTTTTCTGCCATTCTGTCACTGTCACTATAGAAGGAGGAGGCTGGCGAGGGGCCATTTTGTATTTTTCTTGGTTTTATGGGTTACTATGAGAGAAGACAACTTTTTTTTCCTGAGGCTCAGCTTCAGAGTGGGGAGGGACTCATTAACAGCAGACCAGTCACTTGGGAATGAACTTTTTAGCCACAGCATTGCAGGAACCATGCATGATAGAACCTATCAGAATATGTACTCTCCTGGTATAGTTTTCAAAGTCTCATGGGATTCCTTACCACATCACGATGAGCACCACAGTAGGACTTTCCAGGGATGGAATTAAGCAACCTTAATGACTTGCTAAAGCAACAGAAATGCTTAGTGATTCTTAGTTAAAGCATTACGTTTTCAAGAGTCCTTTGTTTAAACAGAACTAGATAACCACTAAGCCTTAACTCATTAAGCCCTAGTGATAGCCATTAACAAACACCTTAGCTTAGTTTACTCAGAAAATGGAATCAAAACACATATCCTACTAAAAAGGGAAAATTTATACTGATACATTTCAGGAACGTACCCTGTGTATGTGTGTGTGTGAGTGTGTGTGCGCGCGCATGCATGTGTATTGGGAGGATGACGTGTTCTGGAAAATATAATTTTGTGAGGGTGATGTCTGAATATTTGTTAGGTAATATCTGTTGTATCAAAACAAAACACATCAACAAAAATAGTTACAATGAAAATTTGGGTCCTAAAAAATGAGAAGCTACTTTTGGTTAAAGGTGGGAAGAGAGGAAGAAATTTGGAAGCACTACTATGGAGTTCTACAAAAAGCCCTGTGCAAAATGAAGGGCATGATGAAAGATCAGCTTGTTTGCCAAGACATAGTACTATATTTCAATTCATTTTAATACAGTGGGCTTTTGTGGGTTAAGAACCTAACCACCACTTGTTACATTATTCAACTGGAAAATGCATTCTGAGTTTCAAAGCACCAAATTAAAATTTAACTTTTAGAATGTCCTCCATCTGTAAGCAGCGTAATGTAGCCTACTCACAGGTTAATCAATACGCAGCTCTGACAGACCTATAAGTCAGAATTTTTGTACCTGAGACATCACAAACTAAACCCAGGGCAAGTGGGAGGAAACACATCCTTAAATCAACTACATAAGCAAGATATTATTAGGGAGAATACTGATGAGACAAGGTGGGCACCAGAATGGGACCAGCTTCGGGAATAACTCACCTGGGATGCAGTAGGGAAGAGGAAGTGGTGTATCTGGTACTTTCCTATTTTATGTAAGTCTTCTTGATAACTAGGCACTAAGGCTAAGCCCTATTGTTTCTACAGTGCTTGTAAACTGAAAAAATGCTTTCAGCACCTTCTAAATTTGGCACGTTGGAGCAAAGCCCCCATCATCCTATCCTAGTTATGGCTCTGAGTGCTGACCTTAGATCTTTAACTTTACCTGGGAATCGATAACAAATATCAGTGCTCCTGTGCCCCTGAAGATCATCTCATAGTCAAACGTAGGGTCAAAAAAGTCAATTTGACCTGGAAAATCCCAAATCTGAAAGTTAACAAAGGAACTGTTGGAGACATCTTCCCGGCATATCTTATTAGTGCTCTCCAAGAATAGGGTTTCATTGGGTGACATTTTGTGAAAGACGACTTTCTGAATGGATGACTTGCCACTTCTCCTCAGTCCCATAAGCAGAATCCTTGGCTTCACTTCAGTACTGAAGGGATCGCTGAAGTCCAGAACTGAAGAAACCACAAAATAAAAATGAGAGTGAGATACTTTCACAGTGGTTAATTAGAAGAGTTTCACTTCCATTTCAAACGTGATTCATGAGTCCCATTCTTTCCTACTTTGGTTTCTCTGAACACTAAGAATGCTATGCTAAGATTGACCATGTTTGCTGCTTTGAACCAATATCCAAAATGCCTTTCAAACATTGCTTCATTCATTCTTACCACATCCCAGTCTCAAAAAGAGGAGAGTTTTTTTAATATCCCTATTTCATAGTTGGAGAATCTAGCACGTTAATAAAAGTGGCTTGCACATAGTCATTCAGTCAATAAGCGTTTATTAGGTGCCTACTACATGCCTGGCAGTATGTTAAGCATTGAGGATACAAAAAAGGCAGAAGACAGTCTGTCCTTGAGGTGCTCACAATCTAATGGGGGAGACAATATGCAAACAAATATGTATCAACAAGCTATATACAGGATAAATAGGAAATAATTAACTGAGATATGGCACTAGAATGAAAAGGGATTGGGAATGACTTCCTATAGGAGGTTGGATTTTAGCTAGGACCTGAAGGAAGGAAGGGAAGTCAGAAGGCATGAAGAGGAAGAGCCTTCCAGGCATGGGAGACAGCCAGAGAAAAAGCCCAAAGCCAAGAGATGATGCGTCTTGTTCAGGGAAATGTAAGGTTGTGGTTAGAACAGAATCTAAGCCCTTTGCATTTATTTCACATTTGTGTTTTAGACCCTCAAAATAGTCTTAGCTACATATGCAAGAGATGTCTTAATTGTTCATTAGCCACTGTTCATGGCCCTATAGATTTCTAGCCAATGTTTATCAATCAACAAGCATTTATTAAACATTTACTATGTGGCAGATACTGTATAAAACACAGGGAACACAAAGAAAAAGTCATCAGTTCCAGCTCTCAAGGAGATTACATTCTAATGAGAAAGACAACATGTATATACATAGATGCATACAAGATACAAGCAGAGAAGATGGTCACCTTGAAATTAGTCTGTCAACAAAGTCTTCTTTTGGCAGAAAGCAAGTAACACTAATACCAAGCATGTATTAAGCACTGAATATGCGCTTGGTACTGTGCTAAGTGCTAAGGATACAAAGAAAAAACAAACTCAGTGGCTACCTGCAAGGAGCTTATATTCTAATGAGAAGATAACATATGCATAAATAGTATATACAAGATACATGCAGAGTAGATGGAAGTTCACCTTAAAGTCAGTCAATCTATAAGCATTTATTAAGTGCTTACTGCGTGCCAAGCTTTATGCTAGTAAGTACTGAAGATATAAAGAAAGGCCAAAAAACAAAGAAACAAAAAAACGAAACCCTGCTCTCAAGAAGCTCACAGTCTGGTGGGAAGTCACCAGTAGCTAAGAGAACTACAAACAAGTGCCTGGCAAATGGGCTGAAGGATGGCAATCTTATTTAGAGCACAGAGGCAAATTTTGGAGATGATGACCCTCCTCTCATACATGTTGCCTATAGTTCTATTTTACCAATGACAGTTCAGTTTCAGTAGAAAATTTTTACTGAGCCGGAAAATCTTTACTACCAAAGGTCCTTACTTCTTAAAATGTATAAACTTCAAAAACTGACTTCCCCCTTCTCTCTAAGTCCTATTTCTCCCACCTTTATGCACAATGAAACACCAGGACAGGCTTGGTTTCTTGATTTCACAACATGGAATAGCCCACAACAGAGAGCCCAAATATTCTTAAACCAGGATTACTTGAGTTGAAAAACATTCCCCAACCCCATTATATCACTAATTTCAGTAATCTTCTATTAAGACTTCTCTGGTTTGGCTCAATTATTAAATAAAGTATAGGGGGCAGGAACATAAAGAGATAGGGCTCTAGCTGGGCTGGATTCATTTATCCAGACTTTGAAGGCATACTTCAGAGGAAGAAATACAAGCTATCAAAAGTCATTAAAACCGCTTTAAATCACTAATAATTATAGAAATTCAAATTAAAACAACTCTGAGGTACTTCCTCGAATCCATCAGATTGGCAAAGTTTGACCAAAAAAAATGGAAAATGACACACTGAAGTGGGTTGTGGAAATATGAACATTAATGCACTGCTGGTAGAACTGTAAACTAGTCCAACCATTTGGAAAAGTAATTTCAAAGTATTCTCAAAAAACTACTCAACTGTGCATATCCTTTGACCCAATGATACTGCTGCTAGGCCTATATACAAAGAGATCAGAGAAAGAGGAAAAGGCCTTCTGTGTAAAATATATACATATATATTTTAATGCTATATATTATATATTTATATGTGTATATATGTATACATCTGTGTGTGTGTGTGTGTGTGTGTGTGTGTATCTCACATCTCTTTTTGTAATGGCAAAGAATTGAAAACTGAGGGGATGCTCAATAATTGGGGAATGGCTAAACAAGTATGGTATATAAATGTGATAGAATATTACTGTGCTGTAAGGAATAATGAAGGGGATAGTTTCCAAAAAGACCTGGGAAGACCTACATGAACTGATGCAAAGTGAAATGAGCAGAACCAGGAGAACAATCTACACAGTAACAGCATTATCATAAACATAATCAGTTCTGAAAGACTTAGTAACTGATCAACACAATGACCTGTATGAACTGATACAATGGGAAGTGAGTAGAACTAGAGTACAATAATAACAATACTGCAAATGATGAAAGACTTGGGAATTCTGATCAACATAATAATCAACCACAATTCCAAAGGACTCAAAATGAAACATGTTACTTACTTCCAGATAGATTCCAAGTGCAAATTGAGGCATATTAATTTGCAGGGGGGGGGGCAGGGACAATAAGGGGAGTCTGTTTTACTTGACTACACATTTCTATCAGGTTCTGATCTTCTTGTTTGAGGAGGCTGGAGGTGAGGGAAGGGAATACAGACTTAAAAATAATGAAATTTTAATTTGGAATAAAAAAGTTGACTTCAAAGGATTTACATTATTTTTAAACTTTACGAATATACTACTCCTCTGCTCTGAAGCAGCCCTTCTGACCGTATTTATTCACTATATATAAGAATCAATATACAGTATAGCAGGATAGGGAGGAGACTTTTAAAGGAATAAAAGAAAAACATGGATACTACACTAATATTTTCCTTTTTTTGCCTTTGGTTTATTCCTTATTTCTCTCTCTTACCCATCGTAGCCAAATCCTATATGCCTGACCCTTTCTCCTTTTCCTATTCCTATTTTAATTTCACATTTTTTTCAAAACTGATTTTTAAGAGTACATGTTAAGACTTAGTAAAAGCAAAAAAATTTCATATATTTTATACTTTATAACACATAATATACTTTATAATTTTGGCATTTGAACTTGGGATACTTGAAGGTAAACAAAAAAAAACTTATGTTCAAACCAGACAGGAAGACATGAAAAATAATTATGAAGGTAGATGGATAATTCACACCTCAATATATCTTTTTTTTAAAATAAATTTTAATTGTCACCTTTTGTTTTTACATATTCCCTTCCCTTCTTGGAGAACTATCCCTTATGACAAAGAATTTTAAAAACAGTTTAGCAAAACTAATAAACACATCAGAAAAAAAAATCTGACAGTAGATATTGTATTCTATACCCACAGTTGCCCACCTCTGCCAAGAAGATAGAAGTACCCTTCAATTATTTCAATAGATCTTATCATATGGGTACCCCCTTCACTGTGTATAGATCCACCATCTTCACATGCTTTTTCATCTTGTGATGATCTTAAGTGTTGTTGGGAAGACAGTCTTCATACACATAAGACAATTAGAGAACAATCAAATATAAAATCAAGAATTAAAATTAATATAATTAAGGCTGAGTAAATTGTTTTATTAGTGTAATGGGATATTGTGCCATAAGAAATGATAAAAGATATAATTTCAAAGAACCCAGAATTGTATATTGCAGAGTGAGTGAGCAGAACCAGGAAAAGAAAAAAAAAACTACAGAAAGACAACACAGACAAGAAAAGCAACTTTGAAAGATGTAAAAGTTCTGATCAAAACTGTCTCCAAAAACCCCCTAACAGAGAAGTGATAGGCACATGTTACAGTCACGCATTTTTGGACAGAGCCACAGTTGGATTCGTTTTGCTTTCCTATACTTACCAGTTACAAACTTTTTTTCCTCTTTCTTACTCTAGATTGATTGGGGGGAGGGGCAGCAGGAAGAAAAGGGTAGGAGCTAGCAACAGTTATACCCAAAAAAGGGGTCCACTGCAACATTTTAAAAATGTACTGAAGAGAACAGGTCAAGCAGAATAATTGTGAAAGTAACATGTAGAATTTTATTATACATTTTTAAAAATACAAGTGATATAAAATATTTACAGTCCTACACAGAATTATCTTTCTGTGTTCTATGTGTGGAAACGTCTTTTTTTTTTTTGTTAAGTTTGGAATTCAGAAATTATTTAAAAAAGAACAAGGTACCTGATTAAGTGTGTTGGGTTCAGGAAGAAAGGAGGTCAATGATGAACCCTACATCCATGACTGATCCCAGCATAGTATCTGGCATATAGTAGGCACTGAATAAATGATTATTAACTAATGGACTAACAAGTTAAAATGAAAATAAGAAAAACAAAAACAAATTTCCTATAAAATAACTCATTTCAAAGATTGGTTCTTGAATGATTTTCATTTCCACTTAAAAAAGTAAATTGGGGGGGGGCTAGGCAATGGGGTTAAGTGACTTGCCCAGGGTCACACTGCTAATAAGTGTTATGTGTCTGAGGACAGATTTGAACTCAGGTCCTCCTGAATCCAGGGCTGGTGCTCTAGCCACTATGACACCTAGATGCCCCCAAAAAGAAAAATATTAATTAGCCTTTTAAAAGTTTATCATAAAGATGTAATTTCTGCAGATTATTTTCTTGTGAGTAACAATCTCTCCTCTTCCCCTTATCCTTCTATGTCATTTAGGAAGAAACCAGAATTAGAGGAAAGAGAATAACTAAACAAAGGA